TATAAATAAAATATTATTAATAATATAATTTGTATGAAATAAAAATAAAACTTATTCCGAAGTAATAGAAGTCTGATCGGTATTCATAATCAGTTCTCATTTAACGGCTTTAAGCACAATCTTGAAATGTCATTAGCCAATTACGGAGCTGTATCAGCATCTTAAGATTTTTGCTTATACGATTTGAAACTAGAATAGATTGTGAATACTGGTCTTTAAAAGTAAAACAAATAAGTATAAACAAAGAAATAAAAACTAATAATTCTATTAAATATAATATATTAAATATAATACATTATTTTAATAATATTTTATTATTTGTTTCTTTTATGTCTTATAAATAATTAATAGAATTAATTGAGTAAATAAATACAGTAGTCATTCATAAATGGAAAAGTAGTGGGATTCTTGTGAAAATTCACGCATCACGCATATTCAAATATAGGTAATACAGTAGTCAAATTATTATTAAATATGTTATATAATGTGTTAATGTATATTAACGTATGTTAATGTATGTTATATAATGTATTAATGTATATTAAATACAATATTTATTATAAATATCTTCTTTTATTTTAGAGATTTTATTAAAACTTTTTATTTACAAATTTTTATTTACAAATAAATTTTTTTTTATTTATTGTTTATAAATTTGTTTAATTTAATCAAACAGATCACTTATAACTCTTTACATTACAAGATGTTGACTACTTACGCGATACGTAATACATTGATGACACCGTAATTTCGAATGTAAGATATAGTAATCAATATAAAAAATATAAAAAATAAATTAAATATGAAATTATTATACCAGAGAAATATGAAAGTACTATATCAGATAAATAAACGTAAATCCCCATTCTTCTAAGAAAAGATAAGGAATTTACGTTTGTTTATCTGATAAAGTACATTATAACGTTATAAAGTACGTTATAATGGCAGAAAATACGAATTTAATTAAAACAATCACCTTTATCAATCAATAAATACATAATGTAAACTATAAATAATAATATTTTATATCATGCGATACTACATTGAGAAAAATTCAGATAAGCGTCGCAAGTGTGATTCATATCTTTAATCCAGTTACTTCGAAAACATATATAAACCTGCGAATGCATCCATTCGTTTCATCCCAGCTAACAAATCAGCAAAATGAGTGCTTTAGTTTGTCTTGTACTTATCGCTCTGGTATACGGCACAGAAGGTAAAAATTCATGAATTATAAATATTTTAACAAAAAAAAGAAAGAATGTGTATTCTAGAGACATCTTTATATTATTTTTTTTTTCTGATAAATGTTAGACATATAGGTATGTCTCAAAATACATCTTTATCATGTTTTTTAAATAAGCATGTTGTTTGGGAGAGAAACACTAACATATTTTACTGATAATACGTCTATAAGGCAATTATTTTTCAATACACATACACACACACACACACACACACACACACACACACACACACACACACACACACACA